TATAACATGTGCTTTAATGCCTTCCACCATAGCAAGTTAGTCTGACAGAAGTACATGTCACGCACCTGTGTAGGTTTAAAAAAAGAAAAGTCAAAAGTTTAGATCAAAAGCCGACTCGTGGCGTCCTGATGCACCCGCTGCGTTTTGATGAATGAGGGTAATATCAGAGTTGGCGACGAGATTAATGCATTCACTAGTGTGGATGATCCCGATTTTGCAGGAGGAATACTGATGAAGCCAAAGGCCATATTAGGAAATCATATCAACACAGATACTGTGTATATAAATGCCACATTTTTCTGAATTGTTTGCAGCAGTTATGTTGATTTAATGTGTTCTGCCTGATGCGTAATACATTCATTATGTCATGTGCTTCCTTAAGGAAAATAATTGGCTTCATCTTGGTTAATTTACATTTGGTCTGGCAAAAGTAGTCATAGGAAACACCTGCAGGAGGAATATGCTCACGCTCAAGTTCTCAGTCGTTGTGCTCGAACCCCAAAAATTCCGGTTGAAAGAGTTTAAGTGGCGTGTTTGTCTTCCTGTACTTCTGTTGATAAACAGATTTCTAGTAGAGGCAGCCTTGTTGTCTATGCAAATCCCACAGTGCTGTGGTAATTGGCACAGAGCCATAAAATACATGTATTTACATGTTTAGCATAATTGCAAGTGTCACCGAGTAGACTTCATGGAGCAGTTCCTCAATTTAAAAAGTGACAGTTTGTGTTATCATAGAGATTTGTAGCATGTGGATTTCAGTGCATGCTTTTTTTACCCGGTCAGAGCGGAGCTGTCTCCAAGAATAAAGATAAATTTCACAAAAGTAACGCTAATAGACCCTAAAAAAAACTTGTTTATAAGAAAATGATGCCATTTCTCCTTGAGTTATTTTCAGTCCTTTGCCTTAAAAGCCACACAGGGAAGAAATAAGTGTCTGACCGATCCACTAAGCCTTTAGTCTTTGTTCATTGTGTGTGTTCCACTGATTAAAGTAAACAAGTTAATAGTGTATTGTATAAAATGTATCTATTCATAGTTTGTGTAGCTGCTATATATAAAACGGCAATAGAAGCAGTCCCTGCACCCCTCCCCCACTCTGTATAAGGCTAATAAGTTGGCAGGTTTTGCTTCTTACTGATCTAGTGGAAATAATCTAACTGAATGTTGCTTTTGAGCCCTGTCAAGTCCCTGAATGCTTTCCATCTTGTGAATGCCTGTCTAAGATTCATACTTGTCTTACTTGCAGTTTCCGTGACTCTCTTGCTTTGACTTGTTTGCCTCCCCAAGAAGGGCGTTAAAGAAGGCAGATGCAGAGTGGCTGATACAGGTTGCAAGGTTACTCCAGGTCCAGCATCCATTATGGAAAGCTGTCTCGAAAACAAAAATGCTTCCTTTTTTTTTTCCTGTTTTCAAGATTGCACCATTACCTTGGGAGACGTTATTCCCAGTGGGAGACAAAATTTCATTGCTAAAGTCAGGACAAAAGGGAGTCAAAATCTGAAGGCTGATGTTGTCATTAGTCTACAGCCATAATGCAATTGACATTTAATGTCTTAGCACAACTGTCCCATCGGTTTTTAGTTGGTTTCTAGCAAGTCAAAGAAGTGTGGAAATAAAAAAAAATATAGAAAAAATAACTCAAGTAAAGTACAAATCCCTGAAGATTGTACTTCAGTACAGTAACAATGTATTTTCACTTCATTGCTTCCCGCTTCTATATAAAGACCAATACAAGAAGTTTGTGAAGGATATTCCAAATTTTACCAGGTCTCTTGTGCTGTTAATCACACCAGATGCAAAGTGAAATTTCCCATTGTCTACTAGTATTTCATCATGTTGGAAACCCTCAAATATTCACCCCTCACAGGACACAGGGTGAGACAGAGTACAGCTGATAATTGGAATCAAGCTACTGAAACCTTACTGTTACCGTCCTGTTATTTCACTCACTTTTCTCCAAGTCCTTTTCTTTTACTCCTCAGCCATATAAGGCTGGGGTATTGTTGTCTGCTTACCAGGCAGGTGTGTGGCCTGAATATGCAATAACTGGGCAATGAGGCCACATAGGCGTTTCAAATTATACCATAACTGCATTTGCTAGGAGCCTGAGCAAATTCTCCTAGCTATTTGTGTTTTGTTTTGTTTTGTTATTTTGTCCATCTGAAAGATAAATTGAACCTTATAGTTCTACCTGCTTTTCTTATTATCAATAACATCAGAAGACTCTTCGTGACTCCGATGGATCCCAACTGATGGATTGTTGCAACACAGTGTTAAGCAAACTTTTTGCTGTAGCGGAAATATTTTCACTTGCACACAATCTCACATCAAAACATCTTGTTACACAGAGTTTGCATTTTGAAAGAATGTTGCTTCACATTTGGTTTGAATGCACCATTAGAATCTGTGGATGCAGCTTGCTAGCCAAGTTTGCTAGCGCTAGCTAATAACATACACCCATTTGTGCTCATATGGTAAATTCTCCCCCACCAAATTGCGCTAACAACACCAACACTGAGGCTATCTCCAAAACGAATGGGTGACAACATAGTGTCAGTCTTTTATATTGAGTCTATGGTTTATTAGGCTGCTGTAATGAATGACTTTAAAAACAGCTGTTCAGTTAGTCCAGAATTTCAGACTGAAAAGTCTGAGCAGCTGGAAGTTTGGTGCAGATATTTGTTGCCATCACAGTCATTCTTGTTTCACCGTGAGCTTCATAGTAAAATTTGTTAACAACTACTAATAATCTTTCCAACATTTGGCATTAAAACAAATTTTTCTAATTACGATGGTTCAGTAACTCCAGAGATCCTCTTAACTTAGGCAAAGTACTTGAATTTGTTTGTAACCTCTGTAACTACTGACATTTCCACGAGGCTCAGCTGTAATTGTTGTTTGTTTTTGGCAGTGTGACAAAGTGGAGGAGCAGTTGCAATGCTCTCCATTTGTCCCATATGTGTTTACCTTTTTTTTTTTTGCACATTGTACACATTATTTTGTTTCTATGTATTTGCTATGATTTCCTATTTGTCAAGTAACATTGCTTCACTCACTATCCCGGGTTTGTTTGTGTAAGCGTTCTGTTGCCGGCAAATCAAACATTCTGCAAATTAAGACAAATACTCAGTTACATGTTTCTTTATATTTTATTATGTTACAGATTAAGTCATTTGTTCATACTTACTTTGTTTGTCTTTTCAGTCTTCATGAGGGTCAGGTGTGGGGAAACGCCCGCCTGGCATTTCCTCATTTTAAAGTCCTGATGATGTCACATATGACATCAGGTCAAACCAGGTGGAGGGGTTTCTTTTTCCATAGAGATGCTTCCTTTTGTTTGTGTTAAGGTTTAAAGGGATTTGTTTAATGTTTTTCCTTTCGTTAATACTGCCATTTAGTTGTGTAAATGTGCATATTAGAAGTGTGTAGAGGTTTTGTGTTTTTAGATAATCTGTGTAGAGTTTTAGATCCCTCAGTTGAGTGAGTGGTACTGGCTGGGCAATTGGAGGGAAATTGATGGCCCTATTTAAAGCCAGTGTCTACCAGATGCAGGAGAGAGGGGAGCCATGTTGTGTTACCAGAGCCATGTTGTGTTACCAGAGCCATGTTGTGTTACCAGAGCCATGTTGTGTTACCAGAGCCATGTTGTGTTACCAGAGCCATGTTGTGTT